TTTACAAATCATGTCTCCCTGTCGCAGCCCGAGGCCAGTCGAACGGGCGGGCCGGGCATTTCGCCTGAGACCTCCTCGCCATTCATGACCGTGAAGCTCAAGCATTGTCAACAGATTCACAGATGGAGGGAGTGTCGTTTTCAAAGTGTGGCTCTCGCCTTAGCGCTGCGCACATTCGTTATAAGTTTGCAAGATTTTCGCAGATTGAGGCGGGTGGTTTTCAAAATGTGGTCCTCGACTTGGCGCCGCTCACGTTCGTTTCCAACACTTGCAAAGGTTTCTCAGATTCAGGGCGGCTCGTTTTCAAAATGTGGCTCTCCTTAGCGCCGCGCACATTCATTTTTAACAATGACAAGAGATTCACGGATTGAGGGCGGTTCGTTTTCAGAATGTGGTTCTCGCTTTAGCGCTGCGCACATTCCTGGTTGAAAGTTGCAATAGTTGCGCGGGCTCCCATGGTCAACATACCAGACATGGTGTAGTTGGAAAGATTCAGGATTATGAGGGTGCAACAGTTATGTTGACTCGCGGTGTTGAGGTCTCAGGAATGGCTTTCTGGAACGATTCAGGATCGTCAAGACGCGACAGTCAGGTTGATCCGTGGCGTTGGAACCCCTAGAATTAATGTTTCGGCGTGTTTCAGGGTCTTCAAAAGGTTGTCTTCCAATGATGCAGCTCCCTCAGTGGAAATGAGCCTTGTATGGGGCTACGAAGAGGGAGTTGGTAGTGAGGGTTTCTTCCAACCTCGCTGATGCCGCAGATGCCGCCTAGGTTTACACTGGTCCTCCTCCTCCTCCTCCTCCTCCTCCTCCTCCTCCTCCTCCTCCTCCTCCCCCTCCTCTTCCTCCTCCTCCTCCTCCTCCTCCTCCTTTTTGTTCCTCTTTCTTACCCTTTTCCTTCTCCGATGGGTTCTCCTCCTCCTCCTCCTCCTCGTCTGTGGTCTCCTTGGCCGCTGGGGCCCGCTGGGTGGTAAGAGCGAGTGCCCGGCGCCAGGTGGGCTTCTTCACCGCCGAGGCGGGGTCGCCGGCCTGCGCCCCGTGCGGCGAGAGCTTCGTTGCGGCCCCGCCGGGCAGCGGCAACCTGAGCGCGTGCGTCTGCGACGCGGGCTGGCGCTTCGACCCCGTGAGCCGGCGGCGCTCAAGGGGGCAACGCTGGGCGAGGAGGGGCCGGGCGTTGCCAGAAGCGCCCCTGGTCGGGTGTTGCTAGAAGTACCCCTGGCCCAAGGTGCCCCCAGCTTTTCGCTCCACTCTGGAGCCCCTGGGGCCCTCTTGGCCTCGTGAGGGGTGCTCTGGAGGCCGCTTGGGGTACCCCTAGAATCCTGGGGACACTTTGGCCCAGGGACACTTCTAGCAACACCCGACCTGGGCCCAAGGTGTCCCCAGGATTTTTCCCGGGGAGGCCCCCGCGGCCTGCAGAGCACCCCTCCAGAGCACCCCTCCAAGGTGTCCCCAGGGATGCCAAGATTGCGGGCAACACGCATGTCTAAGTCTATATCCACTGCAGTATGGAGTTTCGGGCTCCCTTCCCAAGAAACCCGAGGAGCACTGGATGTGGATAACTTTGCCCCCTAGAGGCTCGATTTTTATCCGTATCCAGTGCGCCTCGGCCTCGTGGCGCCGCTTCCAAAGAAAATCCAAGAGGCACTGGATGTGGACACGAATCTTGCCCGCGAAGATGGAGCGGGAAGCTGGGTGCAGCCTGGGCCAGGGGCACCCTGAGCAGCTCCTCACCACCCACCAAACCACCCCAACCCAACCCGAAGGCTCAAATTTACCGTCGATTTCCAGTGGGGGGGGGGGGCGGGGAACATCGAAAAAACACACGTGGAACCCTTACCCCCCCCAACCCGAAATTCGGGTCTTCGGGTTGGGTTGGGGTAGTCTGGTAGGTAGTCAGCTCCCCATCAGGGGGGGGGTGGACGCACGGATCCCCCAGTCGCCCACCGGTCGCCGAGGGGGGCCCAGCGGCCCGCGCCGCCCAGGAGCGTGCGGGCTCGCCGTCGGGGGCCCCTCGCCGATCCGTCGGCGGTGTGCCGCCGATTCCGGCCTGACGTGTCTTGCCCCCCCGAGCTGGTCCCCCCCCCTCCTACGCTCGAAGCCGAGGAGAAGGACGAGCAACCTTCCCAGACATCGGGCGTCTCGAGAAAATCGAGACGGAGGTTTTTCATCGTTTTCGGCCTCTGGATGCGCTCGCCGGGCCTCGGGACCGTCAAAAAACGACCCGGGACGAGAAACCGGTCCCAGGGAAGTGGTCGGGAGGTCGGGAGCCCGTGTCTCGAAAAAATCGAGACGTCGGATGTCTGGGTTCCCAAGGGCACCCCTGCATCCTTGCCCCTTCGGCCCACCCTGAGCCACTCTCGATGGCCAGCCCCGCTCGAGATGCTTCGACATGGGCGTCCAAGGGGCCCTTCTCGCGGATCATTACTAGCAGTTTTGACTGTCCCGTTTCCCCTCAGGTGCGTGACAACGGACTGCGGCGTGTACCTCAACTGCCCAGGCGGCCATCTGCGGGGCACAACAACGGCATAAACATGATTGTTTGGCGCTCCGCGCAGGTTTCTTGGGACCGGCGCTGGAGCCCCCCCTGGCGGCGCCTCTGGCGCCGCCCCTGGCGCGCTCGGCGCGGGAGGAGCGTCAGCGACGATCCAAGAAATCCGTGCGGACCTCAGAAATTATGTTTCTACCGTCTTTGGCTCCTCTATATCCGGAGAGCAGTACGCGGCTCGACACCAGCGTGAGCGTCATGGAGGGCTACATGACCCTCGCAGACGATCCATTCAGCGTCTACGAGTGCAAGGACACCACTGGTTGCTCCGGCGATCGAGTGGTCGGGTCCGCGGAGATGTGCAGCGCGGGGTACGACGCCACACTGCCGCGCTGCGCCCGGTGTCCCGATGGGATGTACCTGAAGCTTTCTGGGAGCTGCGAGAAGTGCGAGGAGGACATCAGCGTGTACTTCAAGGCTCTGGGTGCGTTTATCCTGCAAATCCTCACTATCTGGTTGCCTTCGGTCCTTCCCGCCACCGTGACTGGCGGGGTGTGTGCCAGAGATCTTTTGGAGGCCTCTTGGGGTCCCTGGGAGATATGTGTGGGGCCTCTGCGGGGACTCGTTGGCGCCTCGGGGGGACTCGCTGCTCAATCTTGGAGGAGAGGTGTCCAGGTATCTGGTTGTGACACGCTTCCTTGGTCCCTCTCGGGGCTGTCTTGTCTTGGAGGCTTATCGGGCTCCCCCCGGGGGGCCTCGGAGAACGTCTCGGGGCGGCATCGGTGGCCCAGCCGCCTCGGGAGTTCTGAGACTCTCTGGGCTGGCTCCATGTGGCCCGGAGGAGGAGGAGGAGGAGGAGGAGGAAGATGAGGAGGAGGAGGAGGAAGATGATGATGAGGAGGAGGAGGAGAGAAGAGAAGAGGAGGAGGAGGAGGAGGAGGAGGAGGAGGAGGAGGAGGAGGAGGAGGAGGAGGAGGAGGAGCAGGAGGAGGAGGAGGAGGAGAGAAGAGGAGGAGGAGGAGGAGGAGGAGGAGCAGGAGGAGCAGGAGGAGGAAGAGTAGGATTCTTCAGCCAGCCCCACGGTGGCATGGAGGCAGCCCAGGAGGCCCACAGGGCGCCTGCAGGCCGACGCCCCTGGGCCCCCCTAGGAGGCCACAGGTCACGCGGACCGCCCCGGGCCGGCCCGAGAGCCCCCCCCCCCCACGACAGGAGACCCGCAAGGGGGAGGAGGAGGGAGGAGGAGGAGGAGGAGGAGGAGGAGGAGGAGGAGGAGGAGGGAGGAGGAGGAGGAGGAGGAGGGGGAGGAGGCAGGAGGAGGCGGAGGAGGTCCTCATCCGTTGCCGCCAGAGTAGCCCACCTCTTCCGCGTGCGCGCCTAAGCTCAGCCGAGGGCGTACCGCCCCACGATCGCCCGCTCATCACCGCGAGGTGCCTGAGTGGATCGCCACGCCCAGAAGCGTGCAGAACTGCCGTCAGGGGTCCATCGCCGATGTACCGACGATGGAGCGCCAGTTCAAGGTTGATGCGTCCCCCCTCGTGTTGGCTCCCCACATCACATCCTGGCGTTTCTTGAATCTGCCCAGGGCGTTCTGTACCTTTTTGAACTCGGCGAGCTGGAAATCGTTGTTCTAGCGCTTCTAGGTCCCAACAAGAAAGCCAATAATGCTAAAACAACGATTCACGCATTGCGTTTTAGATACGTTGTTGGGCGTTCTCAGATCAGTTGGTTGCATTGTTTGACAGTGCCGTCTACGACGTCCTCAGTCCCTTCTCCTGATGTGCAGTCCTCAGCCCTCCCGCTCTCTCAGTCCGACTGCTCGCCGTCCTCGGAACCCCTCCCGGGGCGTCTGGCCTCCGGGCCCGATGGCCGATTGCCCTTTTTTGGGCCATCGGGCCTCCGAGCCTGTTTCGGGTCAGTGTTAAGCCGGTGTTGGGGCTTTGTTTAGCTTGTAGCTCTGCGAGGGAGAACGGCGGCAGAAATGAAAAATGAGAGCGAAGACAGCAGAGAAGACACGGAACAGCCTTCGGCCAGTAATCAAAGGCGGAGCTAAAAAAACAAATAACAAAAAAAGGCGCTGCGTCGTTTTAGCGTTTTTAGCTTGTCAAGAGCCCAAAATGCAAAACGGTATAAACTGAACTAGATGCCCAGGGCGAGTTTAAGAAGAACCAGGCATAACATTGCCCCTCGGAGGTTGGGGGCGTGGGGGCTTCTCATTTCGAAAACCATTGAGAACCTGGGGACGCTACTGACTGCCTACAGTCCAAGTCCGTGATCCGCTGCTTCATCAAGGCGACCCTTGCACCCCTGTTTCTTCGGCCCATCCTGAGCCAATGTTGACGTCCAAGGAGCTCTAAATGGCAAGTGGGATTTCCAATGGTCGATTACCTTTACCCTGCAATCTTACTATGGGTGTTGACTGCACGCCACGGTGGCGGATCTTCTACATGTATAAGCGATTCAACTTCCCCAATCCGTCTGGGGCCATCACGTTCGGGTCGACGGTTACCTTCCTGCAG